TCCCAAGAAACTTTTGGCACCGATATATAATACAATATAATACCAGAACTTGTGTATTTAAAAGCTTAGGGCCTTTTCAAATCTAAATATAACACTATCTCGATATGGTGAATGAGTTTCGCTTGAAGAGTCAAAATTTAATTTTCAATGAAAAATATTTTTGGTTTTGTTTGACTATTAACCAAATCAAGATAATCATAGATTCAATTATAATTTACATTACATGACTGATCCAAATTAATTGATACAAATACGCTTAATATAAGATTTTTAATTTTTTTTAAAAAGAATTTTTAAAATATTTTTTTTTTTGTTAATTGTTTTTGTGTAGTGCAATTTCATGCTTTTAGCTTTCTCAATACACTATGGTTCTATTGAAAAGGGGAAAGAAAGAAGGGGGCATCTTAATAATCGCTTTTTAAATGCATTTATAAAGAAAAGGTGACCATCCTGAATTAGAACTCGAGATGTTAAGCCTCCTCAGCATCCTCAACCCAATACACTAACCACTCTGCAAGCGAATTGCTTATAAAAATAGAAAGCTTTATAGTTATCTATTGTTAGCTTCAAGTTTAAAAGCGGCGACCTACAAAGTATAAAGGGGGTTTATTCAACTTAGAACACTATTTCAGTCAAATACTATTACTTTCCCTTGTTCGTAATACCAAACAAAAAAAAAAGAATTACCAAAAGTTTATACACTTTTTTGAGTTGTCCACTGAAAAGTGTCAGGTCACGGATCACAATTTTTTTTACTTTAAAACTTCTACGGACCTTCCCCACCCCATGTTGTTAAGGGGCCGCAAATAGATTTTAATTTCTCAAGAACCCTCTGAATGATGCTGCGGGAGGGGGATCCGTAAGGAATACTTTGGGAACCAATACTATCAATGATTCATTAAATGGTTTCAACACTATTTAATACTTTAAATGATTTCGCCGTTATTTAGTAGTTAAAATTTTTCGCTTCTACAATAATTAGTGCTATTAAATAATTTAAATTGTTTTCCGATTTTAAATATATTCAAATGTTCATAGTTATTAAATAGTTTGAATTTTACACCGCTATCACATAGTTTGAATGTTTCACGGCTTTTAAATAGTTCACATTGTTTACCGCTATTAAATAGTTCGAATTATTCACCGCTGTTAAATAATTCAAATTGTTTCACCTCTATTAATTAGTTTTATCACTTCACCACTGTTAAAATTTTTTATTTGTTCACAGTTATTAAATAAATTGAAATAATCATCGCTATTACATAGTTAAAATTGTTTTCACCGCTATCAAATAGTTCTAATGTTTCACCGCTATTAAATAATATAAACGTTTCACCGCTTTTAAATAGAATGAACTGCTCACTGCTAAATAATGTAAATACTTTGAATGTTCACCACTATTATATATTTTGAATTATTCATCGATTTTAAATAGTTTTAATTTTTCGACACTTTTAAAAAGTTTGAATTGTTCATCGCTATTACGTGATTAGAATTAAGAATTGTTCACCACTTTAAATTATTTAAATGTTTCACTTCTATTAAATAGTGTAGATGGTTCACCACTATTAATTATTCTGAATTGTTCGCCCCTGTTAAATAGTTTGAATTTTCACCATTATAAAATAGTTTGAATTGTTCACCGCGATGAAAAAGTTTGAACTGTTCACCGCTGTTGAATAGGCCTACTTTTGAATTGTTCACCGCTATTAAATACTTTCAATTGTTCACCGCTATGAACAATTTTCAATCTTTCACCACTATAAAAAAAACTACTTGATTATAGTGATCATATTTGTTTTTTTGTTCCAAAAGAATAATGGCGAAAACTCATTCATTGACAGAACGCCTATTTGTAGACCTACTGCAGTTGACTGGTTCTCACCAACAACGTTTGACAAGACCTGTTGTAGTGGACCTACTGCAGTTGACTGGTTCTCACCAACAACGTTTGACAAGACCTGTTGTAGTGGACCTACTGCAGTTGACTGGTTCTCACCAACAACGTTTGACAAGACCTGCTGTAGTGGACCTACTGCAGTTGACTGGTCCTCGCCAACAACGTTTGACAAAACCTGTTGTAGTGGACCTACTGCAGTTGACTGGTCCTCACCAACAACGTTTGACAAGACCTGTTGTAGTGGACCTACTGCAGTTGACTGGTCCTCACCAACAACGTTTGACAAGACCTGTTGTAGTGGACCTACTGCAGTTGACTGGTCCTCACCAACAACGTTTGACAAGACCTGTTGTAGTGGACCTACTGCAGTTGACTGGTCCTCACCAACAACGTTTGACAAGACCTGTTGTAGTGGACCTACTGCAGTTGACTGGTCCTCACCAACAACGTTTGACAAGACCTGTTGTAGTGGACTTACTGCAGTTGACTGGTCCTCACCAACAACGTTTGACAAGACCTGTTGTAGTGGACCTACTGCAGTTGACTGGTCCTCACCAACAACGTTTGACAAGACCTGTTGTAGTGGACCTACTGCAGTTGACTGGTCCTCACCGACAACGTTTGACAAGACCTGTTGTAGTGGAACTTCTGCAGTTCACAGGTCCTCACCAACAACGTTTGACAAGACCTGTTGTAGTGGACCTACTGCAGTTGACTCGTCCTCACCAACAACGTTTGACAAGACCTGTTGTAGTGGACCTACTGCAGTTGACTGGTCCTCACCGACAACGTTTGACAAGACCTGTTGTAGTGGAACTTCTGCAGTTCACAGGTCCTCACCAACAACTTTTGACAAGACCTGTTGTAGTGGACCTACAGCAGTTGACTGGTCCTCACCAACAACGTTTGACAAGACCTGTTGTAGTGGACCTACAGCAGTTGACTGGTCCTCACCAACAACGTTTGACAAGGCCTGTTGTAGTGGACCTACTGCAGTTCACTGGTCCTCACCAACAACGTTTGACAAGACCTGTTGTAGTGGACCTACTGCAGTTCACTGGTCCTCACCAACAACGTTTGACAAGACCTGTTGTAGTGGAACTTCTGCAGTTCACAGGTCCTCACCAACAACTTTTGACAAGACCTGTTGTAGTGGACCTACTGCAGTTCACTGGTCCTCACCAACAACGTTTGACAAGACCTGTTGTAGTGGAACTTCTGCAGTTCACAGGTCCTCACCAACAACTTTTGACAAGACCTGTTGTAGTGGACCTACAGCAGTTGACTGGTCCTCACCAACAACGTTTGACAAGGCCTGTTGTAGTGGACCTACTGCAGTTGACTGGTCCTCACCAACAACGTTTGACAAGACCTGTTGTAGTGGACCTACTGCAGTTGACTGGTCCTCACCAACAACGTTTGACAAGACCTGTTGTAGTGGACCTACTGCAGTTGACTGGTCCTCAATAGAACGATGGTGCTTTACTAAGGAAAAGTTAAAATTAACAATTAATCATGAATAGTTTTTCTATTGCGACCTTAGTTGCAAATTTTTGGTACCAATGAAGCTATAGTTATTCATTAAGCAGTCTTTGACTTATTATAAAGACATACTCCTCGGAAGTATTAACAAGAAAAACATTTTAAAATACATTTTTTTTTAAACGACAGTTCCTCCATTGTTAAGATTAAAATATATTCATCATCATCATCATCAAACTCCACTTGAGTGAGGGCTTGAGAGGCTTAATTCTTATCTTGCAAAAGCCCTGGACAGAAACCCTGCTGTCTTGCGTAGTGCATAAATGTCGCCATACAGGTCGAGAATTTTTGGTTTCCCAGACCTGTCGAGGCAGAGATCAGCAAGTCTGGGGCAGTCAAACAGAGGCAGGGTTTCCTCTTCTTCCCCGCAGCGGGGGCACCGTGAATCGAAATTTGGCCATAGCCGTGAGAAATATGAGCCAACAGGACGTGGCCTGTCCGGCACTGTGCTATAATAGCTTGCCCAGGCCTAGACAGCCACCACCACGGGGAAATGCGGTCAAGGCGCCTCATGCGCTCCCAGACTTCACAGGCATTTTGGGACTTGAAATATAATAAAATATTTTTTTAAAAATAATATTTGATCAATGGGTATCAAACCCGTGATACCGTCTGCTTCTTGAACGTAAGATTTTTCTGATCCGTCCAGCGGGATTTTTTAATTATGTTGATTATTCACAGTATGATGAAAAGTACGATAACCGTTGCAATAGAACTTTGCAAGATCTAAAATATCATGATATCGGATTTTAAATATCTTTTCTAGTTCTTGCGCTCTAAACGGGACAGCAGGACAGACAGACCACTCAAAACTAATAGGAACTTTCCCGTTTCGGGGGCCGTTAACATTAAAGGGAAAAAAAAAACTTGTTTGTAAAGGGCGATAGCAAATTTACGATCTTAAAGATAAATATTTTTCTTGGTTTTCTCCCTTTATTTTTTTTTTTTATAAGAGAAACGGAAAGTTTACATTTACCCATTTTTTAGCGTATGTACTTCGTGTTCTTCTTACAGAATGTAACATTAGAAATAGATCATCGGGGCAGTGGGGATCAATGTGTCCATCCCACAGGATCCTCGTGCATTTTTCTCATGGGTCCTGCTTTGGGTGTGAGAATGTAGGTACTTGTACGGAGCAATGTGTGATAGTGGTTATTGATAGTTTCTCATTTTCAAACATGTACATTCGTCGTTGTTGTTTTTAAAACCTAAATATAAACGTTTTGATTTGTCATTTTAAAAAATACCGGTACTACTTGTCTCTTCATGTCGCATATCCCTTTAGAGTTGCATCCTAGTCCAAACCTCCAGCAAGACAAGACAGCCCAGAGCAATAAACAATACAATAAACATTTTTGAAAAGAAAAAAGAAGGTACACGCAGATGACTAAAAGAAGCCTTTACACCTAATTCAAGCAAGATGATGATGATGGTAAAATTGGATTTTGAATTGCACTATTAATTTTAGAGATCTAAATGTGACATTGACAGAAAAGGGCAACAGTGACTCGACCCTATAAGGAAAGCTCTAAATAATGTGAAAGACAACACTCATGAGTTAACTGAGTATTTTATGTTTATTATTTCTTGGTGCATAATGTTCATAAGATCATGTATGAGGAAGTCAATGCTATCAAAAAGGTTTTTTAAATAAAATGTTTGGTTAAAAAGATCTGACTACTGAAATTTCAACTGCTGACTGCATTTCAAACATAAACAATATTTGTGTACAATCTGAATCATAAATACAACAAAAGAAAAATGTGACAGTTAACTATATGTATAGAATAGAATTAAAAGCAGCCTTCCATTTAATGGAAATAATCATGCACAAAATTCAATAATTTACAGAGAATCCCTTGAGGTCCATTTCTATTCTGACTGATCACAGCTTCTCTAATGACTGAAACTTGAAATGAGCACAACAACTCCAACTCATGATCAACCTACTAAATGTGATCAACTTTTCTTTTTCTAACATTTGCTGGTTTGTTCAAAGTGAAAATGTGTATAAAACAATAGAATAAATGTTTTGTCAACATTACACTAACTCCTCAATAGAACAGGGCTCTATATATTTATGTTTAAAGATCAAATGTACCTGAAGAGAAAAATTACAAGAGACTTCAGTTACAATCACATACACCCAACTTTGTCACAGTCATCAATTAAAACATGTCCAGACATTCACACATACACCCAAATTGGTCACAGTCATCAATTAAAACATGTCCAGACATTCACACATACACCCAACTTTGTCACAGTCATCAATTAAAACATGTCCAGACATTCATACATAAATCATATTTGTCCACATGTAAAAAAAAAAAGAGTCATAGCTCCACACCAACAAAATACATTCACAGACTAGCTATCTTAGATAAACATAAGCACTTAATAAAAACATATTTCTTGTTCTAAAATTATGTTACATAATCTCTGACATTAAAACAATACTTTCATCCTCAATTACTAATTTAAAATACAAACTCCTATTAAAAAAAATGGTTTTTGATTGTTGGTTAAAAAAAAAATTAGAACAATACAAAAAGAGATGGCTTTTTTTTTTGCACTGAAAGAATAATATTTACATCTAGGCAATATCTGTTGAACGGCTTCATACTAATTGTTAATGTATTTACATGTTGTCAGATCTTGTATTTACACTACCCACTACATTGTTGCATTGGGTTTTTACTGAACATTACAACCACTGTGTTCACTCACAACATATTAATATTTCATTGCAGATACATACACAACATTTTAAAAACTTGAATGTCTTTCCAAAGTAAAATCTACAATAACAAAATATACTGTGGCCAAACCCAGAATTAAAAGTTTTCACTTCAATTGTAAACAAAAAAAAGTTTTTAAAAAAAAAAAGGTTTCTAAAATAGTTTTGTATTTCTAATTTTACATGAGACAAAGTAGCACCTGAACAAGTTGTTCCCTTGAATTAGACAAGGCCATTCTACCAGTCAGCACCCACTTTCTGTTCTGCCATTTTAAGAGTGATTCAAAAATAGCATCAAACAATGGAAACCTTTGTTAGCTTGCCATTCAAATATAGAAACAGTTTTCTTTTATTAGAAGGTGCAGAATGTTCAACATTCTATCAATAAGTTGAGACAGAAAAAAACAATATATTTTTTTTTAAAATTTCTATAGCTTTATGTAGAGAAAAAAAAAAAAAAGAAAAAATATTTGAGTGCTCTCAGGAATTATTGAAAGTTAACAGAAACACTTGATTTTTTTAGGTGTTATACATAGGTTAGGAGTGAAACAAACTCTCTGGAATGAGAAGATTAGACATCCCAAATTTCATTAAACATCTTTACTACATCCCATAAGACAAAAGAATCTACACTGTGGCACAGGAGCAGAAATGAAATTTTTGGGGCTAGAAAAAGTCAGCAACTAACTAAATTATTGGACTTGTCACAGCCTATATCAATAAATTAAATATATATATATAAATATATGTATGTATAAAACAGTAACTCTTCCATATTAGTACTTTAAGTAAAGTGTAAACTTTTGTTGAGCTTAGAAGCCTCCCTTTGATATAAATCAATAGCTGATTTGATGATTGTGATATTGCAAAGTTTGTTTTTTAAAATACAATCTTCAACCAAAAAATGTTGTTTTTTTTAAGAAATTGAAATTCATACATTCAATTAGTTTTCTGAAAGAAAAGCTATAAAAGGAAACAAAAATAATCTAAATTTAAAATTGTCAATAAAATCCTAGCAGGAAATAGTTGAACTCTTTTATGAACTCTCCTGAAGTCCAAAGACAATGAACATTGTCCTACTTTTTGTTCTTCTTTTGCTGACTATCCACTTCAGTTAGATCATTTCCAAGTGTAACAATATGTCAAGCACTTTCATTAAAAATTGTTTACCCTGTATCATTTGCACTATAATCAGAGCACCAAATCAAACAGACATTTTTCATATACTTACAACTGAAAACAAAATGAATGCCATGGAACTGAAAAATGTGTTGTTGTTTTCTATTCAGATGAAGGGCTGGATAAGACATTTTGTGTTCTTCCTGTTCACTTTTGTATTGGCTATGCACTGTTACTATGATGGCTGCCAAGTGACGCAAGGTCAGCTTGGACTTCAGGGTCTTTATGTAACTCATCAATCTCCTCTGGCTGGACCCGCCGTCTGTCCGAGCGAAGTGAGTGTCCTGATTTGTTTGATTTGTTGCTCTTGGTTGATTTTGTGGACTTGGCAGATTTTGTGCTGTTCGCTCTTTGGGACTGACGCCGAAGGAGATTCTGAGATATGGTTCGATGTAAGTTTTTGCTGGAGGCAACATGAGCATTCTGTCGTAACCAGGGATGTATGCACGCTTGACTTGCTGTCATACGTTCATTAGGGTCTAGCACCAGAGTTTTATCAATGAAATCTTTGGCCAGGGCTGACACATCTTTCCAGTGCTGCAAAATAAAAATAAAAAATTTAGACAAAAATAGAAAAACTGATAGATACAGTCAATGAATCTTGTAATAAGACCTAAAACTCCCATATGACAATATGTCTTCCTACAAAGCCATGAGTTGACTCTGAAGCATTAATTTTTTTATTTAAAAAATAAGATTAAATCAATAAGTGAGACCATGACACATTAATTTAAAATCTTTTTCATGATGCCAATTTTTATGTAAGCACTTTAAAGGATCTGTGAAGGATATATTTTAAGAGATAAATTTTCAAGATTTTGGTTAATTAACAAAATCAAACATATTTTTTCAAGGAACATTAAAATTGGTGTCATTATGCTCTATGATTCTTCTACTTATAACCACATAAGTTAAAATAGGAAAAAGAAATGTAAAAGTATTACAAATATTAATTATGCATAAAACTGAACTGCTTAATTAAAGCACCAGTAAACTCCTCTCAAACTAAAATATGGCAACAAAATACTTGTTTTAAATCAGTAGACAAGATTGAAATATTTGACAAGATAGTAGAAACATGGGGAAAAGTATAACTTGTGTAGGCCAATTCTAGAAAATACAATTAAATAAATTTAGTTAGAATAACAGTACAATATTTTTATCCACTGAGATCATTTTAGCAAATATAAAGTAACTATGAGTAACCAAGAAGAGTGGTGGCTGAGCGGTAAAGCACTTCGCTTTCGAACCGGGAGTCCCCGGTTGATTTCTGGTGAAGACGGATTTTTAATTTCAGGATTTTTGGGTGCCTCTGAACCCAGCTCTAATGGGTACCTGACACTAGTTGGGGAAAAGTAAAGGCAGTTGGTCGTTGTGCTAGCCACAAGACACCCTCATTGGGCCACAGAAACAGATGACCTTTACATTATCTGCCCTATTGATCGAAATGTCTAAAAGGGAAATTTACTTTTTTTTAAAATTAACTATGAAAACCAATTGAAAAAAAAAAAAAAAAGTAAAGTGAGATTTATCAGACTTAACTTTGGTAAAGCTACTATTTAGAGGTACCACAGAGTTAAATATTAACATGTGAAGTATGAAAATAAAGCACTGAGCCATAAGTTCAATTAAAAAAGATAACCTGATCAAATACTCAAATACAAAAAAATTTGACTTAAATCATAAAAGAAATATTACATTACAAAGGAATATTATGGGATGAGTAGCGTATAAGGAGGGCCTGCTTATCAACTAATTCAGTGATGCCAATACAGCCCACCAGTCAAAGCAAGCTGACTAATATCCTCTTTGTTTTCTCCTTTAAAAAAATGTTCCATTAATGATCAATAGTGTTGTTAGGCTTTTAATGACTGACTTAAATCATATGAATAGGTGGGAAAGGTGCATGCAACAAAAAGAATCTTGAAATATTCTACCTTCTGTGGTATTTTAAAATAAACTAAATCAATTATTGAATGCTATAATGTTATTTGCTCTATCACACTAGTAAACTACCCAAGTACACTTAACACCCAAATTGTCTTACTGACCAATGCCAAAACAGTCATTTGAAGCCTCAAAAACTGTGATTTTTTTCTATATAAAACAACTCATGACATCTCTTGTAACCCGAAACAGCAGCAGTAAGGAAACTGTTCTTTAATGGATTCCAGACACATTGAAATAGAAGGCAATGAAAAAGCAGACATACTGGCCAGAGATGGATAATGAACAAACAAATGAAAATTCCTCTCTTCCCAGAAGAAATGAAGAAAATGACAAGAGAGTTGAAGAAATAAGAAATGAATCAGCTCAAATCCCAATGACAAGAAAAATGATGACTATTATTAGCTATTTAGACATGACCAATACATAATTTCATGTCTCAGAACCGGAGACAACAAAATGAAACAACATATATTCCAGAAGCTAAAAGTTGGGACTAGCAAAACTTGCTCTTATGGAGCATCACCAGAGAATGCAGACAATGTCCTTCAAAGTTGTATATTCTGTCGAGAGGCCTGAACAAGACTCTACTCCAAAACCCTTCAAAAGAAGAAAAACTTTATGGAGAACTGCCTGATCTGGAAACCACTACGAGGTTCATCTCTCAGATATAGGATTACTGATGAGAAAGAAGAAGTTTGTTCTACTTTTGTTTTAATAAAAGAACAAGGAATATTTATATTTATACTACAGCCCATCAGTCAAAGTCGCCCCCAGAAGAAGCAGGAAAAGGAATATAGATCTAGATCAGTTTCAATCCAATCAACACAAATTATTAAAAACAATTTTACATCTTTGCACTTTTTAACAAATTAAAATTTCCAGCTGATTTCTTGTCTATTATTTGATTCTGTTTGGTTCTATTTTGGAACAACCAAACAATTAAGTTTAAAACTTTTAAAAGAAATAAACCACTCTATTTAATAATAATAATGGGCTTCGATTCTGAAGATTAATGATGAGTGCAGTGTTTCACATAGTCATGCAAACCCAGTTGCAACCTGCATAGTTTTCCACATCTAATGTAGGCAAAGCCATTGTTCTGGTTGTTTTCTTTAGTGATTGTTCTATATTAAGTCTCACCTATATATAAAAGAAGAAGGGATGAGGTTAAGATATGTTTGTCCCATCAGCAGTAATAGCAACTCTAGAGGTTATTATTAGAGCAGCTATAATCCTTTTAACTCTTTCTCTTCTA